GTTTGTGGACGCCTAGGCAGCGATGACGAATAGACACCTGTTAGTCCCTCGGGACTTCGATGCTTTGAACGAACCAGCCAATCGTTCTGCACACATCTGGCTACTGACTGGGATCCAATCAACCAGAGCAGCTTCAGCCGGGGGACTCAGGGCAATACCAACACCGGCTTGGCCGGCACTCGTAGCTGCATCGTTATTGGATAGGCGCAAAGAGAGGGATGCTGGTGTCACCTGAATGGGATCGCAAAGTGAGCACTGAGTTCGAGTCTTGTAGGCGGGTCTCCGATAAGCAGCAGATACCGATCGAGAGTCTCTAATGTTCGGGCAAGTGCTGCCTGTTGACCGATCTGTAGCAACGTGCGTACATTGGGGCATGTCAATCTGAAGGAGGATCGAAGGCTCCAAATGGTAGCCGATGTATTGGGCTTGACTACCTGCTTGGACATGGGCTTGTCGACAGGACAGGAATGACGCTCCGCGTTCGCATGTGAGTTGAAACCAGTAGGTAAACGCCTATCAAAGCAAGTTGGGGGAGGGGCAGGAATTGGGCGATTGAAAACAAAGGGGATTAAAGTGAAACTGGACTAGGATGTTAAGGGTGAGAAAGCGTAAGAGGGAAAATAAAAAGATGGGAAGGCTTGAGCAGTAGCTACCAAACCTCTATCCACCCTGCTCGATACAGCAGACAAAGCGCCATTTATTATCCTATGCGGTGGCCAGAGTATCAAGGAATTGTTTAAGGAAGGATTCATAGTCTTGCGTGGGCAGGATACTGTCAGTTTGCCCAGGCCTAGACAGAAGAACGATTAGGGTTCTCAAACAAAGCCTTTGATTCAAAAACCTTACCGCAAGGCAGCGGGTTTTGTAGTGGGCTACCAAGAGTCCGTTTTAAGGAATATGGTGCAACCCTCATTCCAACCCCCAACCTGGATGACCAGGAGGCTGAGTTTGTCTGGCCTCTAACCATTGACCAATCTGGTATGAGTGACTCTGAACGTGCAAAAATGCACCACCCAGTATAGCTCAATGGATCTCCGCGGCACACAAACCATCGCACCACGGTAAGGTCTAGCCTCATTGCGATGGTCGTTCTGGAATACCTGCGTTGACTCTGATCATGCTTTGATAATATGTCGTTTTTCCATTAAGTTTACCGGGAGGCGTACCAAGCGGTTTTCTCGATTGGCAACAGAAGTTATCTCAGTCCTTGATCAAGCAGCCCTATCAGTGTATGTGTTTGGTGGTCTTAGATTTGGAGATCCTTTGCAGACGTGGGTCATTATACTGATTAATTCAACGGTTGGTGACAGCATTGCGTTTGTAGCAGTTCCTTGCTCACCCGGGAATGTGCCTAATTGTGCGCTGCCGGTTATTGTCCTGGTAATCGTGTTCTTTACAAATTTTTTGTTTCTCACTCTGGGATCTTATTGCAGACCTTATGTATGGAACATTTGGTCCATTGATATCGCTGGTCGGAACATTTGTAGTAGCTCTTCGGTTCATCGGTATTATGATGAGTTCAGGAGCAAAGGCACTTGAAATCCCCACCTTAGTACGTGTGTTGTCAAGTGCCAAGTCGACGCTGGTGGCTCCATCGGTTTGGTATGCTTCCCGTGTCTTTATTCTGATTCCGGATTGCATGATTTCTGTTTTTAGCGTTCGTGCTGCGGACACAAGGAGAGACAGTTGCAGAGATTTCAGATCATGTTTTATCACTACATCTTTGAACTGAGTGTGTGTGGGCTATGACGAGTTCACATATCACGAATCTGTCCGCAGATTCCTTACTAAAAATTTGAAAATGATCGGGCAACACCGCTTCGGTGTTTGTTTTCTCAGACGTAAACATTTGCACTTGGCCTCGGACATGTCGCAAGCACTTAGCAATGTTGTTTTTACTTTATCTAAATTAACTGCATCAGAAATATTGATAACTATGGCGTTTTTCAGCCTACGCGGTCGTTCACCGCTTTCGGATGCCACACAGGCAATAAATTGTCCCACTTTTCATCTTGACTGGATTGGCCTCTGATGGGTTGTTGATGTATTCTACTGTAACTCCATATTCCTTAAAAGGTTCGCGGCAGGCCAGTGTTTGTTACGTTGCAGAAAGTTGCAGATCAACGGGACTTATCATTCAGTTGTTTAATAAGACTGTTACTTCTGGGGACATTGTTTCCATTGGTCTTACGCTTGTTTCACTTTTTTCTTGTTTTCTTCGTGGAATAGAAGATACGCAACGCTTTGGTTGTCGAGTGTGGCTAAGCCATGTTGAAGTCATAGTATCCCAATACTGTCGGAGTTGCTACTTATAAAATGGTTGGGGATAGTGTTCACAGTATACGGAATGTAGCTATAGCAGGACATGGTTTGTAAGGATACAACCTATTAACTCTTAGATCGAATAGGGAACAATGAGTACAGAAAGTATAGAGATGGGGGCGCTTAGTCTACGCAGAAAAATTAGTATGCGGGCAAATAGTGCTCAACATTTCTTCTTGGTATCCGTCTTCAGCTATAGATATTCGTTCGCGTCCAATGGATTGCCACTCGATCTGATTGTTTAGTCAATTGCCTCTGCGCCAAGTCAGGTGTCAGCCGTTGATGGAACATTGGGGTTGACGAAATTTCTATGACCTTATGGGTGTGATGCGTTGCGTGAAACGCAACTCGATTAGAGTTAGGATCGTGTGCTCAGACACGATGGTTAGGCGGACGCCGGTTCTGCAATGCTCGACAGGTGTGGGTCCGGCGTCGTCTTCAGGGCACATGTACTCCCAAGACACGAAGTTCAGTTTGGACGACGAGTTAAATCACAGGTGGATTCAGAATCCGTGCACGCGTGCTTCTCGATCTGGTCTCGGTGAATGCGAGAATTGGATGGGTTTCAAACGAACTCGGTCTCAGTCGAATTGAGAACAATGCAGCAGTGACCATATGGATAGTGGCAATTTTTCTAGTATCTGTCTTGTACATCATCCGACTGAGATGATTGTGGGCTTATTAGAGAGCACTCAGAATGATCTTGCAGCTGAAGCTAAAATTAGCTTTGTTGATTTCGGAGTGATGAATTTGTGCACGACTTTGATTATGTTCCATGTTTGAAAAGGTTCTGCAGTTTTCACAAAATCCGTTTGATATCCTTCCAAATTTTTTCAAGTGAGGGATAGAGTACACAAAGAGGATTCAAATGGTGTAAACTAATCCACGATTCTTAGCGATTGCACGTAGAAAACACAACAAATGTCAAAGCTCCGGTTTTGCGTCCGCCGTGCGATGAACCAGTAAGCTTTCCGATCATTTGGTATGCACTCCACATATTTAAAATGCAGTGTTTTTACAGGACCACCAGTCACTTGATGGCACCTTGACCGTTGATAACGATGAACTGGAGGCACGTGATCACTACACTTCTCTTGGCAGCTGCATAAGCATCAATGGATGCGTAACTACTGCAGCCAATTCACGTATTGCAAAAGCTAGAACTGTCTTCTTGAATTTGTGGCGTCAGAAAGGCGTTTCCCTCGGTCTGAAAGGGCATGTTTACAAGACCAAAATAAGGGCCGTCCAACCCTATGGTAGTGAAACTCCACCCCTTCGATCTGAGGCGCCTACATGTAAATGATCATCGTTGTCTGCAAAGCATTGCTGGTGTCGGCTGATACCAGCTTGTGCACAGCGATGATGTACGTAGGCGAGTGGTAGGCAGTGATACTCAAGCTAGTCCCTTAGAACAATAGATAGCACTGAATAAGTTGCGTTGGCTTGAGCACGTACTAGGTATACTCGGTCACTGCTTACCGAGGAGGGCGTTGTTTTGTTTGCCAATTGTAAAGTGGCACAAGGCCCGAAGTGTGCAAAAATTAACTTGGCAGCGGGAAATGAAGTCATTGACTACCAAATTAGGTGCTGTCAGTCCGTTTCGCGTTCCAGACTGGAGTCCATGTGACCCGCTTTGTGCTTGGCTTGAAACGTTACAGGACATGACTCGTAGTTGGCATCAGTTGTCTATATTTGGTGCTGACTTATCTGCGAGGCAAAGGCTAATTATGACGCGGAGCAGTGAAAGCCGCAAGGAAGCTGTCTCACTGATGCCGCCTTACCTTTACATAATAGCCAGCAGTTTGTGACGGCATATTTTAAAACAAGGTTTAGGCGCCTTGACCCTGAATGTTTGCTTAGGGCATTAAGGTTTTACGGTAAGTCCACCTTCTCTTCCTGTTAATATTCTTTCCTTAGGTCACCATGGATGTACGGGAGCGAAACATCAGTTCAACTGGCTGATGTGCTGCTGTTGATGATGATGAAACATGTTTGGTAGGCTAATGCTACTTCGAGACGTATGGACAGGATCACATTGGTTAGTAGATAGATACCCAATGAAGGAAGGATGTGTGGGACATCTGAAGCTCCTTTAGGATAGTCGCTACAGTAAACTGGAGCAGCACTGAAACTGGACCTCCACACCTAATATATGATTTATTTATTGGTTCACTTGTGTTTCCCCAAGCAAGAGGTAGAAATTGTGTGCGCACACTCTTCGCTCTGTTACAGGTTTCGTCTCACGTTGGATTGGGCGGTTGGATCTTGGCTGTCTAGCTAACGTGCTCATCCCCGCTGAAAGCGCTTACATGTGCATCCGAATAATGACGAGTTACGCTGCGTGGCTCTCGGTATAGCTGTATCATCTAAGCTGAAATCGATTAGAGATGAGTTGTTCCACCCCACTGCATCATTTGATTTGATTCGCTGACATTGAACATTGCTTCCAAGTCGAGAAAAATTCAGGACTCCCTGCCTCTGTTGATATTTCGTATGGGGACCCCATACACACCTTCTCGCTTAAACCACCACATCAACCTTCAACGCTGTCTTTATCCCTTGTATTGTCGTTATGTATACACATTTGCAAACCTGTGGATATTAAGCCGCTGCATTGTCACGTAAACCGCTGCCAATCAGATTCTTATCCTTGCTTTGTTCCTCGTAAATACTCTAAGGCGGTGCAATTGTTCAAGGAATTGACCTTAAAGGATGCGGATGCCGCACTTAGTACCGAATTGGACAAGCTGGTGGACACCATCCCGGAGTCGAATGTGGACAGTCGTTTGCGGTTCCGGAAAGAGATGGACGGTTTTCACGAACTATTCAAGCGGTACCTAGATGCAACGTCGGATGCATTTGAGTGGGATATGATTCAACCGCTTCCTGCTGGCGTGGTGAGTGCCTCTACTCTGTATCTGTTATGATGTACCTGAAATTGTTTACGTGAGCTGGCAAGGAACACATTACTGTTGCTCATCTCGCTATGCGGATATAAGCCAATATACAACTGTTCGGGTTGGAAGAATTCTCAAATGCTCCATTATGTCAGATTCTCGCACAAACTCCTGCATTATGTGTACTTTTGAGCTGAGTAACTATACTTCAAGCAAACTTACTAGTACATCATTTGGTCGTGTGCGTGTGTTGCGAACAAATCGTTGTTAGTACATCTCACTTTCCACTAAAAATAAATACCGTTATTGTGCAGCTTTTCCCGACAACTTGTTGCTGTAATCTAATTGGAAACTTCTTGATGCTACACGCTTAAAGGTTCATGTCTGCGCGTTCTGAGCAGCACTAATCCATATACTGCTGTTTGAATACTTCATTTTTACACATTATAGAAGATGGCAAGACTCTCACATTAGGTTTTTGGAACTTCGGGTTTTTAGAATATATAATGGTTTATAAGTCTTTTCTTAATGACACCAGCAGAAATGATATTATGACAAGGAAATACAGAAGAAACCCTAAGCCGCGTTTTCTGAGCAAATACACAATTTTTTAGTTTGAATTGGCAGCGTTAATATTTTTTCACACATTTAATTTCATTTACTTTCGAACATTTACTCATTATAAAAGTATATATAGGACACATTTATAGAAAAAAATTGTTTCCTTGTTCATGCGTGGTATGCCGCACAGCAAGCTCGGGCACATCGCAGTGCATTAGCTCTCTTCCCACAGTGACGACATCTTCGTTGATTCGGTATTGACTAAGTGGTGTGCAGAACAAAGTTCCCTTATTTCGTCTCTCATTCTTTGTCGTTTCCTGCTGTGTGGGCAATAATTTTGTGGGACATTCTTCTCAGCTTGATACATCTGCAGGTGGACTTTCAGAGTAGCTCATCCGAAGGAAAGCATCTCATACTGCACTCGCTCATGTGCAGGTGATTTTCTTCACAAAAGCCAGACGTTCATTGTTCGTTGCAGCATCGGGAAGAAAAGCGAATGGCGGCCACCGCCACTTTTCGCTGTGATAATTGGTTCCATATTGATCAAAGATTTAGTCTAATCGGTCCATTTCTCCCGTCGAAGTGTGTGCTTTTTGTCCATAGCCGACCAGCTCTTTAACTGTGTAAAAGAATATACACCGACAGAGTTGCTATCAATAGTCACAACGCAGTTGTCATTCCAAGACAGTCCCAACACATCGTCCAGCTTGTCCTACCTGTAGGCATAAGCATCCCTGTCTAGTTTTGGTAGGGCCTGCAGATCAGTAGGGCACTTATCTGTCTTATTAGCTCAGTTATTCCTGCTGCTCTCTTATCCTCGTTTATTAAACCTATCGTGAGTGGTAACCCCGTAAAAATTGTCAAAAAATACATGATAGAACTCTTCGAGACCTTTTCCACTATGCAAATGAAAATGTGATATCCCTGATCTGATGTCTCATCATATTTGACCTGCGCTGTTTGCTAAAGATCCATGTCGGTAGCATAGCCTTGTGCGGTTGCAGTGACACCCGAATATGATAGGCTTTTTCTGATGCATTGTTCTAGTCTATGACGGCCATACTATGGTCTCATGCTTTCGTCCACACTCAGATTTGCTTCTATGGAGAAGAATTTTACAAATTTTTCATTGCGAGGGATGTAGTCTAACTTGGCAAATCTATCATCTGCTGGGATACTGTCATTGTTGGCCAAATGAAGATACTTCCTGATGACATCAAATCTGTTTCAACTGGTTGTTCTAATCATCGCTGCATTCCGGACATCTTATCCAGGGTCCCAATACAGCGTCCCAAAACGTGACAAAGGAGTATAGCCAGAAATAAACAGAACAGCTAGAAAAGCACGCATTTCATTCGTGATAATATTAAGGCAGTGGTCACTTTTTGGAACGGGAATAAGCAGTTGTCTGCACTAGCATGTGCGTAAAGGCAGCAGATTTATCCTGCAAACTGTTATTGATACTTTGTAATTTCCCTTCGGATGCTTCACCGTTCATGTCGACTGTGACTACTGATCCACGAGGTAATGTCACGGTAGCTTCAATCTCACTGAGTAACTGTCTGGCAAATGATCAAGAGATCCAGCATTCCGAATCTCACCACTGACATCATCATCATCCTCATCATCGGAGCTTTATCCATCTCCCAGAGGAGCAATGTAAGTGTTGCCTTCCAGAACACCATCAGCTTCTTCTACTATTGTGATAGCATCTTGTGCAGAGCGCAGCTTAAGATCCCTGTATAAGAAAAAATAATCTACACACTTTTAACGAGGAAAATGACGCATCATACTGAAATGGCCTAATTTGATATATAAGATACAAGCACACATTCAATCATGTTACCAATAATTTAATCGTCCTTAACTTGCATCTCACGGTATCATTTGTTTCAACTCACGAGCGCACTAATTATCACAAATTTTCAAAGTATATCCGTGATAATACGCTCTAGACATATAACAGCAGAAATATGGCAAGAATTCGATAGCGTACAATGAGAAAACACGAGACCATAGGTGAACAATTGCTTTCGATGATTTATCTTCAGAGCTTTACAGTCATATTTAAGAGTAAAAGAAAGAAATCAAAACGACCCATTGGCATAAATTACACAGTTCATTTGCGGTCCAATGTGGGAGGCTAAAAGTTCAATGTTTAATGAATAAATAATCGGTTTACTCTCACCTTTTCGGATTTCCTTTTTTCTCCGCCATTTTTAATTAAAAAGAAAATCATATTTAAATGTTTGACTTGCATTAGCCGAAATGCTTCCGAAATAATAGGGATTGGTGTATTTCCTGAAAGGTTAGCCCCAAAATAATAAATCTCAGAACATAAAAATAACCTTAAAATGGACGTCAGCAGAAAATGGGTTAACGCATTCACCTTCGGACTTCCTCTCGGCTTTTGGGATTACCACGCTAGGTTATAGCGCTCACGTGGCTTAGTCGGAGTACCTCCTGGTCATATGCACTCGTAACGGACAGCCATAGTATTCGCTTGCAACAGCTGGTAGTTAAATACTCAAAGGAATTTACAATTGTCACCTTCACACTACTCGTTGCCCTGGTTGGAATGCTATCTGATGGAGCACGAGATGCTCCGTCAGCTTCAACGGTATTTAGAACTTCTACAACCTAGGCAACGCTCTCTGAAATTTTTTGCGCTTGCAGCGGACATCCCGCGTTTCTTATTGTGTTGTCTTTGTTCAGGTTATGCCGTACAACAACTTGCCAAGTCTGATTGACAAGGAGAGTACCCGTCAACAGTTGAACAAGTTGGTCGTGGTCAAACTGAATGGCGGTCTGGGTACAACGATGGGTTGCACCGGGCCGAAATCCCTCATTTCTGTCCGCAGCGATCTGACATTTTTGGATCTCACTGTTCAGCAGATCGAAGTAAGTAGCTTCTGATTTAAGAAATCAAAAGTTAACATTCCTAAACACTATCCGCCTATCGAGTGCAAGCTTGATAAGTCATTCTTTGGCATCTCATGAATTCTACAATGGATTGCACTGTTCTGAGGGACAGAGATAAATTGTTTCGATTGATCGATCACATCTCTAGGTGATCCGCAGTCTTCTGCGGCGAGTACTAACTTAGAAGCAGGAAATGAATTCATTGACGAAGAATTTCGGCGCCTTTAACCAATCTCGCCTTCCAGACTGGAAGGTTCACGCGACGCACTTCCTACTTGGTTCCAGAACCTACAGGACATGGCTGCCAACCGGGATCGGTGACGAGTTTGCTCTCGTCCACTAACCGGACTGTCAGTTTACGATTTACGTGATACTGTGGCGTGAGATTGATTGTGATGCAGGACAGTGAAAGCCACAAGGAAAATGTCTCAATGATGTCGCCTTCTCTGCGTGCAATAGCCAGCGGTTAGGGACTATGTGGTGGTATAGGTACATTGGCCCTAAGTAATAGCTTGTGACTCCTAGGCTTTAGTCTAAATTCACTTCATTCCCTCTAATCACCCCTTATCAGTAGGGTCACTACAGTTGTGTGGTAGCAGCGTATCATCAACTTCTGTTGTACTTCTCTCGGAGATGATGATGTTCAGTAATCTAGAACGGGTGCCAGGGCATTCAACAGATCAGTTCACGGTATACAGTCAACCGGTACCTGAGGACGATCCTTCGGTGTGCCAGCACGACGTCTTCAGGTACCTAGGGAAGACACATAGCAAACAAAAGGTAGACAAACAGAAGTGCATCGGATACATACTAACAGAAATTGGAAGGCTTATACTTGTACCATTGTTGTTGAGTCGCCATGTTTTGTTTCAGCTTGGTTACTACACCTAAAAGTTGCCCGTGTTCTTACACTGGGCCTCATATAGAACGCTCTTTGCAAGATTCAGCTTGCTGCAGTGGCATGGCTAACGGATAGCTACTCTAGTGCCTGTGCCCTGTATATCATGCGAGACTCGTGAGCGATAGAATGAGGTAGGGATGATGATGAAGTCATCCAGAGAGCTAGACCCATAACGATTGGTCACTCTTTCCGATCCGATCCTGATGCCATTGCGAAGCACATATTTTCCGCTTTAGCTGACCATTTCATTTGACACTGGGTATGCCTTTTTTCTGAGCTCAGATCTTTCTTTTCGAACAGTTTGGTCTGCACTCTCTTTCGCTTGCTATCTTGTTTTCCACGGTGACTCAGTTAGTCAAGCTAACTGCACCGAATCAGTGCATTTTGGACGGAATTTTAAACCATTTCGTTAACTTTTGCGGTACATATGCTATTCGTTTACTTTTAGGACACTGATGTACATAATGCTAATGGACAGGAGCATACTCCGACCAATTGTACTGGTCGCTGTTCGCCCCTCATGGCTAAAACGGATGCGAACGACACTGCGGCTGATATCGGATTGGATGACTCTATTGGGGACACCATGTTTCTGGAAACACGAGACCCAGAACCAGAGGAGCTGGCATTGCTGTTGAGAGATCCGCTTCCGCCATCCGGTGTGTTTGTTTGCGTTTTGTAAACTATCGAATTTTTTCTTAACGATGGTGCATTTTTGACATCGATAGAGAAGAGAAGTTGATGTTCTGTTTTCCTATATAGATGTAGCAGGTTGGTTAAACCCCATGGACTCATTTCGGTCCTCATCAGTTTAATCTGTTAATCATCAGTGTTGCTTGATGCTCTGTATCGAGTGTGATTGCTTGCCCTCCCTAAAGAAATCGTACTCACTACATCAAGTTACCAAATCATCATTACGGCGAGCTTGGGAACCTTAGAACATTTTATTGCCTAGGCTTTGCAGCTTACTAGCTCAGTAATCTCCGCGCAGCTGTCTAGCACCCTATGATCACTTGCAGATTTCTTCGCTATACGCTTAATCTATTTGATTAGCAAATATTATTGGGCGAGTTGCTGTGCGGCGCACTGTTAGATGCCATTTTGGGATCCGATTCACCTGAACCTAATCACTGTGACATCGTTCCCAAAAATAAGCAATGAAAGAATATTCTATCATTTGGATACGCGTCGTTAATGAGTATCCTAGCGGATGCGGTAGCTTGACGCATGCCGTTGTTCTCGGTCTTCCAGATTCGTCCAAACGGGTAGCTTTGCTCCTACTTATTTTTATCCATCTGTTTTAACACTTCAATTATGGCCGTGAAGTAAGGCGACCGGGTCCATTATCCGTTCCAGTGCACCATCCTTAAGCTCTTTTGTTTAACCCCAACAAGACTTCCGAATCGTGAATGTGTTTACCTTGTATTCGATAACATTCACCTGGTAATGTTGAGCAACGCGTTTCCACCGGGCTTAAGGTAACAGTATCATTTACAAACGGATAAGTAAGCATCAACAATACACACCTCAGAAATACTGCTTTCAGCTCAGATCAGTCACAATGACGTACACTTGGCTGCGAGAGCCAACAAGTTAGGCCTCAAGGCGACCGAGGTACAGTGATGATGGCATTACAGTGCACCGTATGAGACTGTATTTAGGAGCAAGTAGAAACGTTTCTGTACAACTCTATCAAATTATGAACAATCAGAAACCTTTAATTGCGGATTGTCAGCGGTAATGTTTGGTCAGTTAATCGTTTATCCTTATTCGGTTAGGAATTCGTATTGGTGTCATTATTTCCGGGTATAGGATGTACTTTTTTGCATTGTATGTACACCGTTTCACAAAAGCACAAGTTTCCGAAATAATCGTCGATACGTGTTTTAAAACACTTCACAGAATCGGCCTCTATTAGGCATTCTGGTAGTGTATTCCATGAGTTTACGATTCTTAATTCTATACAAAGTTAATGTGATACCCGGTTTGTGCATGTGACCCTGGGTTTGTAGCGGTGTCTTCAAATGTTACAGGGTTCCCGAAGGTGAAATGTTGGCCACAGTATGGGGAAGTAATTCAGGTGTAGTATTCGATGGGTCATAATAAGGTCAATTCGTAATCGGCGGTAGGATAATGTGTCAAGTCCGAGCCTTTCACAACGTTTTTCATACGGAAGATTTCGTAGACTGGGTATCATTCTAGTTGCGATGTGCTGTATTTTCTCCAGCTTTTCCGTTCCAACTGGGTTATCGAATGGTAAACTGGGGCGCCATATTCAAAAATTGGTCTGATGAGCGAGGTGAATAGGCTGGGGACGGTTACTTCAGACCATGTGGAGAAACTGCGTCGTAATGCCCATACCAAACGAAGTCCCGCACGGTACAATTTATCTGTATTTTCTAATGATCTCATATCATTTCGCGAGAACATTCCTACGTCTCTGACAGATGGGGTGGAGCAACTGGCCGTCCAAGATGGATGATCTAGTGGCTGCACGTGTGATGATACTGATGAACTCCGACTTGCTTGCGTTAAGAGTTGAATTTCAGTGGACCACGTTGCCAGTTGATTTAAGTCATGCTGGAGGCGAACGCAGTCGCCATGGTTCTCAGTGATCCTCCAAATTTTCAAATCATATGCAAACAGGGCATTTGGTGACTGGAGCTGCTGCGGGAGATCGTTAATATGAATAACAAATAACATTGGTCCAAGTACAGTTCCCTGAGCCACGCCACTGGTCGATGTGAACCAGTCTGTCAGGTAGTCATTGACATTTTCTCTAAACTTCGTCCCACACTAAACTTGTGTAACCGCTGAAGTAGGGTGTCACCGATTCCGTAGATCCTCAATTTACAAAGGAGTATCTCATGCTTCACTCTGTCAAACGCCTTACTAAAGTCGATGTACATCACGTCAACATCCATCCGTTCGTTAAGAGCTCTTATCCACTGGTGGTTTGCGTACATCAAGTTGGTGATGCAGGATCGCTCTTTCGTCAAGCCGTTTTGTGCTGGCGTCAGCACGTCTGTCGATTCGAGGAACGACAGCAGACACTTCATTACAACCTCGAGCACTTTGGACAATTTCGAAGTCAAACAGATCGGTCTATAGCTTTCTACTTTAATCGGATCAACACCCTTCGGAAGCGGTCTCACTATTAAGCATTTCCATTCGTTGGGGACAGATCCTTCAGAGAGTGATTTATTGAATAGGTTTGCCACAGCTGGCGAGATGACATTCGATAGGGACTTAAGTATTAGTGGGTGAAGTCCGTTTATAAAGTAAGGAAACTGGTGGGATTCGTCAGTTGCACGAATTGGACGAGCTGTGGGAGAGCGCTGAAATTGAAGTGGGTCAGTCTATTTAGAACAGTGGGTTCGCAGTTTCACTGGTGCAGATAATGGAATAATTAGAGAGTCTTAACCCGTGCGGGACAAGAGAGTAGACGCAGGTTGGGGTCATGAATGGCGAAGTGGACTGTGCATGCGGCTCATAGGAGTGTGGACAAAGGACAGATCGACGGCTTGGATATTGGGTTTGATGCTTACAAGCATACTACATAGTTGACATGTTTTGACATGGAAAACAAACATTGGTGTTAGTAATCTCAGCATTTGTATATCCTCTAAATATCATGTGCCACTTACTTCACTTGATACATGAGCAGTGCTTGTTTTCGTTAGCTCACTCTGGAGCACCGGAGTTTACCGAAACAGCTTAAAATCGAGTCTTGTGATTGTCGAATGTGTTATTGAACAGTGTGGACCTGTTAGACATAGATGAACACAGCCCTTGTGAACAGCTAAGCCTTATTCCAATCTGAAGTTACCTGTTGTTACTGATATGCGGTTGCGACTTGCCAGTTTACTTGCCCTAGTCAATGACACGAAGCACTGGCGTCGACTGGTCAGTCTATCTGTCTTGTCGCATGAATACCGAAATGGACTAGGTCAATCTGCGACGCATGTGGTTCCAGACAAGTTCGATCCTCCTAAAACTCATGTGTACATGACCATACTGGGGCTGGGGGGCGGCTATCTTCCAGTGCTGTGTGACTGACCTCTCTTTCACAGCATGCTACGCGCCCACAAAGTTTCGACGTTGGTTGTCCGTGGAGCGTCGCTCCCCTCGTTCGGCGCCAACGCATTTACAACGATGTGGTGAGTTTACCAGTGCTGGACAGCCTTGATCAGCATCGTCGGATTGGCCATCAAATCGGATTGAATAGGTAAGGTATACTTATCCACCCATTGTTTACCGCGCTGTGCCTTGTTTGCCCGGATGGTTCCATTCGGCCCATTGCGCGGTTATCCGTTAATACTGTTGGACTGGACAGCATGTTGGTGCGTGTAGGTTATTCACCCGACCTTACTAGCAGCAAGCAAATCCTCATGTGGTATGTATAATAGCCAACATAGATAATGGGTCTCTTCGCGGTCTCTGGAACATATCGATGCTCGCCGGCATATCCCGGCTGTAAGCGAACACAATGAAACTCGCAAAGAGCTCCGGGCAAAACTCCGTACTAGCCTGCAGAGAGACCGCAAATCTTGATGGTCTCATCGTGCGTCAGAGATGGAAATGGCCGCTACCCTTGGCAACCATCGTAACTTATTCCGTCTGATACGGGAAACGGGCAGCAGGAAACCTGGTGTTAGTGAAACCATACGTGACGAGATTGGACAGCCTATACACAATTTGTCAAAACGTTTGGAGCGTTAGACTGAGCATTTTGAAAAGCAATTTTATCGGCTAAAATTGTTCGATTCTTCGCCGGCCATTGATGGTCCTGCGCCGTGGGCTGTCGCTTTGGATCCACCCTCTCGCTCAGAAGTCGAACGTGAGATCGGACTGTTGTAGTTGAACAAAGCCGCGGGACCAGATGATCTTCCTCCAGCCCTCTACAAATCCGTAAGCTCTGCTCTTGTTGATGCTTTACATGAATTACTAGTGAAACTGTGGGAGCAGAAAACTGTCCCAACCGACTGGAGCCGCTCCGTTATTGTTCCCATCTTCAAAGCAGGCTCGCGTTCGGAATGCGGCAAACATAGACGAATCAGTCTGATCTCCATCGCCTCCATAATCGTTCCCAGACTGACTGGCGCTCGTGAAAGCCAGATTCGTGAGGAGCAAGCCGGGTTTCGTCGGGGTCGTGGCTGCATCGACCACATCTTCACCTTGCGTCAGTTGTTGGAGCACCGTCACACATATTGGCGGCCCACCGTAGTCGTGTTCCTCGACATCAAAGGTGCCTTCGATACGATTGATCGATGTGCCCTTTGGAATTGTCTACTCAGTAAAGTTGTGCCCGAGAAATATGTAAATATTATCCGAGAATTATACGCGCGTAGGACGGGCAGAGTGAGGGCTTACGGCAAGCTGTCGCCATCCTTCAATATCTCCAGTGGTGTTAGACAAGGATGCCCGCTGTCACCTTTCCTCTTCAACTTCGCTATTGACGAAGTCATGGAAATCGCGTTCACAGGACATGACTTGGAAGGTGTGGAGCTACTCCCAGGAGAACGACTTCTTGATTTGTATTATGCTGACGATATTGCCCTACTCTGTGACAGCTCCCAGACATGCCAAACCGCGCTGGACAGATTAGCACTGGCTGTCAGTCACTTCGGGCTTTGCTTTGCACCATCGAAATGCAAAGCGTTCCTCCAAGATTGGCGCGGATCGCCTTCTGCGTTGACCCTTGGTGGGGATCAGCTAGAAGTCGTTCAGAAATTCAACTACCTGGGATGTTGTATCAGCGCCCTTGGGATTGAAGATGAAATCACGAACCGTATAGCAAAAGCTCGAAGTGCTTTTGCTAACCTTCGCCACCTATGGCGGCGGCGCCACATTACTCTCGCCCTGAAGCGTAGAGCGTACAATGCAGCAGTGTGTTCGACCTTACTGTACGGTTGCGAAACCTGGCCCCTAAGATCGGCGGACATGAAGAGGCTAGTTACGTTCGACCATCGGTGCCTTCGCAGTTTGGCTCACATCTGGTGGGAACACCGCGTGAGTAACGAGCGTGTTCGACGCCTTGTTTACGGGACAGGAAAAGGAACTGAACCACTCAGCACCATTATTTCACGCACCAGGCTCCGATGGCTCGGCCACGTGTTGCGCATGCCAGCCCACCGACTTCCACGACGTGCGTTGTTTGCTCACCGGGGATGTGGATGGAAGAAGAGGAGGGGTGACCAAGCGATGACTTGGTCAAGAGGAGTGAAGGCCCTCAATTCGGAGCTGGCCTGGGTTGGAGCGTCACGGCTCCCTGGTTGGGGTCCAAAAGACGGTGAACACGTTTGGCTGGATACACTTGCTGACATGGCAAGGAGCCGACCTCAGTGGCGTTCCTGCTGTGAGTTTCTTTGTCCTTCCCCATCCCTTTTAGCCTCCCACTCCACCTACGATCTCATTTCGTAGCCTAAATCATAATAATTTTTCTTTTTCCCTAGTAGCTGGTTGGTAGCTTACCGGAACGATGCCTATCCGTTGCTGGTAGCTCAGCTGGCATGCAATTTTTGTATTTATTTTCCTTTTCCTTTATGTATTGCGGCACAGTAACTGAGGTGTTCCTCACCTCTATCTGACGTGTATAATGATGTTGATGATGTAGGTTATTCGGAAGCATTTCTTTGGTTTTTAAGCGTGAATTGAAACAAGAAAGAGGTTTTTCACTTGTGCGCTCTCTCATCACACGACATTCAACTCTGCCAGTTTATTGTAGTCATGTTGATCCTGAACGTTTGCTTGGTGCGTTAGGGTCACATCTTTGCTCATCATGCAGTCCTGCGCTTATTAGTGAACATTGCTGTGAGTTGTGATTGTTTTCACCTACCGACCAGCGTTGCATCCTCTCCAACTCTATTCCACTCTTTCATTCTTACGAATTAAACAATGCTTTTGTCGGTAATCCGAGGTTGGATACGCTGTCATCCTCAGCTGCGCCAAGCAACTGTTCATTATCTACGCTCCCGATTCTTGCTAGAGTTTTACCTATATACTTCCAGACAAATTTAATGACCAGCGATATTCCTGACTATCTCCTGAGATCCACGTTACCGTACTATCCTTCTTGTAAATCTGGCAGCCGACAAATCTAACTTCATCGTGGTTGATTTGGTTCTTTATTTCCTCTTATCTCTTACTCTCTCCTTCCACAGGCCTTCTGCTGGCAACGACGGAGAGCGTGCAGTGCTTCACCACTGACAATGTTCCAGTGGAACCCATCCTGTGTGATGAAACTCGCCGCTTTACCCCTAATTTAACATCTTGCGAGAAAACGCTCTCTGCTTGTAGATTGGCAAATCGATTGATCCCCCTGCATAGTTTCATTAGGCTGCACGAAGATCGATTGACTGCTCCCGATTCGGTGCTAGAAAGCACAGGAGTGTCGCCTGTTTCCGTCACCGGGGATTATCCCAGTTCGCTCGTAGCTGACTCGGTGAAGCTGCGTTCAAGTGTTGCATCTTGCCCGAACAGACAAGAAACATCGGCTCAGATCTCGAATCTTGGTGTTTCAAAACGCAGTGTTTCAGTCAACATGCCTAACATGTCCCCGATGAGTTCGTTGAATGTGCCGCTCGCTGGATCGTCAGTGCGCAACCGCCCGGATCAACCTATTATGGCCGTCTCTCCTGGTTGTTGCCTACGTGATGTCATGAGGGAGCTAAACCAGCTTACTTGGTTTCGTTTTCGTCGCCTAATCCCCTGCGCCATCACCGCTCTTGACTTCCGACTGATCCTGACCGACGATGATTCCATCCAGGTGAGTGTGTGTGTGTATTATAAAGTCACTCTTCTTGTTCTAATACATCCTTCTTTCGATGATTCCCCATCCTGTACATAGTGAAACCGTGCGTATCATTCAGCCAGGTGGCCATTTGCGAAGATTTCAGCCTACGTTAGTAGAAAACTTATTAAATCATCAATGTTGTTGCATACGAGAATATCTCGGATTCACTATTCAGCTCTCAATTGCTTGGCGAACTATCTTAATCCAGCCAATCCGAGGAACATCGATATGCGGCTCCAGTTGGAATGCGGAGATCAACTTTCCATCGTCACCAGCAAAGGCTTCTCTGTCAATATCACAACGTGCGAGTGAACAGCTGGACTATTCCCAATGTAACTGAAAACACTTGATGTGACATCCCGGCCTGTGACTGTGATAAAACCTTGTGCCTTGTTCCTGTTATCGTGATTCTTGTCCTTGTTTGCTATAAAACACCCTCCATATTGTGTGCGAGTTCACTTAGCCTGATGAAACTTTTACGTCAAAGACGAGACGTTACCTAACAACTATATCAAGAGATTGTTTCCGAGCCTCTGAATTCAGAGTTGTTGACAGTGTTATGTCGCACGGGTTCTAATCCATGTCACTCCTTTTACATAAACTGGTTGCCACACAGTAATTTTCTTTCAATGTCAGGAGCCTTCTTGTTGCACTTATGTGTCGTGTTCATGATGATGTGGTTTTTGTCACTTAACGGAACTGAGTTTGCGTATTCCACCGAACGAAATTGGTCTGTGCCTACCCGTCCCCTAGCTAATTTAATGCAGTTTGTTTGGTCAAATATGAAATGTGTCTTGAGGCTGTGGTTACAAAACAGTTAGCCACGGATATATTTTTCCAGTCATTGATGACCACTAGCTTCTGTATCCTGTACAATTTGGGCCTATCTTACTACTCATGAGCGCTTGCCGTCTATGAACGTTTGAAAGAGGCTGTCGTCATCGTCCGACTTATGCGGAGAGCGTCGAAATCTAATTTGTTTACCCTGTCCAGTTGGCTTAAGGCTAGAGAGAGAGATTTAGAACCACTAACCTACATGTCTTAACGGCTCACCGACACACACACAAACCATCATAGAGCTTTGAAGTTCAGTCTCCACACAAGGGAGATACAAATCAAATCGGCGTGGTGGTTGCCGCGGGCATCTTTACTTCTATTTCAAAGTGCACACGCGTAATTTTCAAATTCGACCTGTTTTCCTTTCCATCAGGTTTCTATGCTGCATAAATTCGAATCATTCGGCCGCCAAATATGTGTCTATGCTGGTCTTGTGCCGCTTGCACTCCTTAGGCGCACCTGCTGTTAATTTCACACTACTGTCGATTTCAGTCATTTGGACGGAGTATTTCCGCTCGATTACCTTCTAATCCTCAGTTGATAGTCAGGAAGTACCCTTTCCCACTGACTTCGTTCCCATCTGCCTGAACTAGGTGCATATTCTGTCGATTTATGTGCACCGTATCGTTTGCATGCAGGGCTGCTCTGCTCACGCAACACGGAGAGGCAAGCTTCTCATTTGTCGTTTGTAGCCCTTTTTAGCTCTGCGGCTGCTCACTTGGCCTTCTCATCAAAACACCCTAACCTCATGGCTTCAATGCACAGGTGAACCATCACTCAGCTTATGCACTGCCCTGTGACGCGTGGACTAGGGGCATTATATGGACGACGCCTATACCATCCCGCCGCATTAGAATAGTTCACGAAACACGCCTTATCACCTAAACGTGTCATACGACCCTTTGTTTGGGCCATCATCTTCCTTTGCACACGATTAGTTCTACTACTCCCCTGCACAATTGTTCAATATTATTTAGCGGTTGCAAAATTCACCGACAATATTTACCATGCAGTACGTATTCGGTGAAGAGTCGGCGAACGTACATTTTGGACTTCGGTGATTTATGTTGTCCATTTTAGCGCAAGGGTATTTCATCAAATACTGAGAAAAATTCCACCTGATGAGTGCAAGTTTGTGTCTTGTTGTGCATCTTTAACGACTACGTTGCATAATGTGATTTTAATGTCGGAGCACTTTACGCTACACACGCGGACCCCCCCATTTCCGAAGCCAGACACATTGTATTCCATGTGGCAGTTAGTAGTGGCGAGCAACTTTGCCTTTAGTCAAATGCCGTGTCAATCGTATTAGTTGGATCCAACATAAAGTGTACGCTTTATCGAAATTGACGGCTTTTACACCTAGATATGTACTAACAACCCACTAATTTTTTCACCTGCTTCACTGGCACGGTTTGCGCTCTCTCCTAATCGATTACCCTAAACTCTCTGGACACACCTGTCTATATCGTTGCTTGTGTTTGGTGAACGTGTGTACGTCCCGTGTGGGATTGGAACAAATTTGTATACCAGTGCCTATCCAAAAGTCAAACTAACTCCATGACAAAGGCAGCCGCAGGTGCAAAGTTCACGCTGACAAGCAACAAACAAGCTCACGTACGCTCTCTCTGATCCCATCACGTTATCACAGGTATCGCAACTCGTCCAGGTCTGTACATTTCGCGGTTGTGAACCCTCGTTTCGTGGCATATAGCCGCTTACAGGAGGTGCAGCTGAACGTTGTCGGTCATCTTGCTATGTTACACAAGCTGGCCGAAGCCCCGCCACTTGGTCAGGTCGACAGGATCACTCTGGTATAGCCATTGGGAGTCACTCGGACAGCTGCATACTTCGAGAGCTTGCTTCTTCAAACAATTCTGTCGGGCACATAGGTTAGTTGTGACGCGAACTCTGGACCAGTCGAACAGACGAATCACCCTATTAACTCGTGAATAAAGACATTTACGGATCAAACTATTGGCGACCGCGATACCTTGCTACCCGAATTTTTACTTACTTCTCAAACCACGGCACAGCTGCCTAAGATCACTCCTGTAACTCGGAAGGGACGTTTGTTTTCGGCCTCCCGATTATCTTTGCAGCCGATTCTATAATTCTCGTTTCATTGCATGGTACAGTTGGCTAAGACCGGATGTCAGCATGCTCCAACATTTTGCGCATTCACGTGGTGCATTGAGCTGCCAGGTAAACGATCAGCAAACAGACTAAGTTGGGTGATATCGCCACCGCCTTTTAAAAGCTAACCTCGAAAGATGGTTTACGGGTTATAAGCCCACCTCGATTGGAGTAAAACCCATATCATACGGGTTACCGATGATTGAAGATGATAGTTGTTGCAGTATATCCCAAACTATTCTACCTAATAGGCACCTATGTGCAGTCCGATCACGAATCCATGAGAGTGAATAGGCGGTTTCAGCTGACATTTAGCTTCCTTTTTGTCTACTTTCCCATTATATACATCTCTGAGGACTCCTGAGACGAAATCTACCGCCGGCTCTCATTCCTTATTCGTTTGGTTAGAAATATAAGTGCTCTCCTCTTTGCAACTGGCGCATATCCTCAGGTAGACCACATATGCGTGAATTAACAACGCCCAGAAGGTTGATGCCTATCATTATGACCATGGAGATCGGCTCTTTAGTTTTTTGTCGACCATGACCTTCATATCAGCAGAACTGCTCTCAGACATTAACGTTCCACCACGTCACCTGCCAACTACAAACCAGCACGCCCCATAGTTCCATATCGATAAGATTACCGTCAGCTATAGGTGACAAGTTTTGGTTGGAAGATTGCTTTAGAATGTAGAGAACTCTCCTGAATCCCGATCGTGCTTTATTGTGCGCTCGCATAACGCTGGCTCTGTGGGTTTCAGAAGGGCATACGATGTTCAGATAGCTAATTTGTCCTTCAAACTAACCGACTGCAATGTGACTCAATCGATCCAATTTGCAACATCGGTGCTCACTGATGGATGTCGTGAAAAATCAAAATGTCTGAAACATCCAGATATCTGTATGACGTGGGAAGGCCTGCGAGGCTACTTGATAACTCAGCGTGTTTCTTTTACAAGCCGGATAGATTTCTGTAGCCTCAGTGACTTTGCTTGAGGCGAAGAGACGGTTGCGATGATCATTCAGTCTTAGGGTTTTACGCGACATCGGAAATAGTCATCTGATTGGGGTCTCCATGTTCATTCAGATTTGTTGATGGGTGGTAAGCATGCGCAGCATGATGAATGCCAGTGTCATTGCGGAGAGTTGGGCACTGTATCAACCCATCCAACACATCCGTCTGTGAAGTAATACTTGGGGTGAATTTGTGACCGTGCAGAATGTGCAAGTGGTTCTTTCTCATACTCGTCGGCTCAAAGTTCGGAGTAACATTTCGAGTGAAAGAGCTTGACTCTAAGTCATTTGGATGCTACTAGAGTTTTGATGCCTCGATTTCCCCAATTGCAGTGATCCGACACGAACTGGGCTATTGGAACAAAGCGAAGCTGGTAGACTAACTATGCTCTTCCCATCGCTGGTGAAAGACAGTGAAAAGTCGGTTGCTTATTTGTGGCACTTCATACTATGGAATGCCGCATCAGAGTTCCCCGCTGCTGCAACTCCTGACACGAAATAAAGGCACACGGACAAGTGAGGCGTACCATGCATGCTCTATCCTCTCTTTTCTGTTTGTAATAGGAACACTGCCAGGTGACCGACTTCCGGACAACATAGTTTTCTCGGAGCCGAATTGCGCCCATTCACATGAGCTCCCGCTTAGCCTATCTGATATTTTGATATCTGCTTCGGATGTTAGTGATGCAGGACAAGTATACAGTGGCCGTTTGACCACTCCATAGGTTCACACCATCAGCTGATAAGCTACTTGAAGTGGTCAATCAGGCCATTTATTTACCTATGTATATATCAGAGCGGTGGTTAGATCCTGACAGATGGTCTACCGACTGCTGCTACTTTTATGTCATGAGCTTATGTCCTGGACGCCTCGTGGCGACTGCTGGGTGGGAGTTGAGTTACGCCCTTCTCCCTGCTAAGATCCAGGTCACCAATTCGCATGAGTCAGTGAACTAACCATGCGCTAGACCCGCTGCCTTTCGG